ATTTAACTGTGAGCTTAACTTCTTCACTGTGAGATAAACCATATACCTGAATTTATTCAAATGTGTTTGTTTTCTCTAAAGTTCACATATTTTTTATCATTAGTAATTAAAATGTTGAATACATAATGTTCAACAAAGGACAGTTCAGTTTGAATTGGCCGTGTCTTTCTATTGCACAAATGCATAATTCTATGCATATCAGATTAATTTCTCTAAGTATTAGAAACTCGTGTGCGTGTGATTCTGGAACATCTGGTCAGAGCTTTTTATACACTAGATGTCAGTGTTACATTCTGTTTTAATATTTTGTTTCCAATCTGTTTCGTTGTGTGTTTTATTGGTACCTTCTAAACTTCTCAAATTACTCTGAATGTTGTTTAGATGATTCATGATTGAAAATGTATTATTGACACGCGTGAACAGAATCCAGAAAACACCCCCAAACTGAATAATATTGGTAACAGCAATACTAATGTTAATAGTAGATAAATGATGCGATTGACAATAAACAAAAACAATATTTTTTTATTAATGTAAGTTAATATAAGTAGCCTAATAAAAATAATAAGCACATAAGTAATTAGCCTTCGTGCTTCATAAGTCACCAAGCAAATAAAGTTTTATTAAATGCCTCAACATGTATTATTCTCTGCACTGATTTGTCTGAGAGACAATAAAGTGCAAGACTTTTGGTAATTAAACAAGAGTTTTCATCTCGTGTATGAAGTACTTGCGGCTGATGGGAGGCGGAGTCAGCGCTGATGACGTCGCGGTGTAGGGGCGTGGCCGGCTCGCGGGAATATTATGGTCCGGTTGCGGCGCGCTCAGCGAGAGAACGCGCGAGAGACACTCAGCCTCATGACGCTTTGTTATTTCCATCTGTTTCTTCAGGGGACATTTTACTGACGTTTACTCAACAGACGGCTCTTTAGATGGCGTTTTCCCTGTGTGTGTGACTGACGGTAGGTGTCTGTGAATCGGACCTTGTCTGTATGTTTGGGATCTTCGGTTATGGACAAATGAAAGCGACATAATCTGAAAACTCCATGCAGAATCCATTTTTGCTTGGCAGCGTTTGACATTGGTGAGCTTTTCTGAGCCACGTGCGCAAATTTACGTGATTTAAAACTCATTACTGACGGATTGTTATGCATAAATTGTGTTTTGCGACTGTGATGGTGCAATGGAGACGTATTGTCAGTTCACTGGGATATATCTGACATTACAATATTGATATTTTAAACTCAATTTACATTAATGTACAAAGTGTGAATTTCTGTTCGTTCTTTCATCAAGTATTTGTCTTGTATTCTGAAACATGGCTTTACCTGCCAATGCAAGTGGCCTTCCTGTCGAGGAACTGGCCTTTCCGGAAATTATTGAGCTGAACGTCGGGGGTCAGGTGTATATCACCCGCTACTCGACTTTAACAAGTGTGCCGGACTCCCTCCTGTGGGAGATGTTCAGCCAGAAGAGCACCGAGAGCTTGGCGCGCGACACAAAGGGTCGTTATTTCGTCGACAGAGACGGATTCCTGTTCCGTTATATTCTGGATTACATGCGAGACCGGCAGCTCGTCCTTCCGGACCATTTCCCGGAGCGAGGACGGCTGCAGCGAGAGGCTGAGTTCTTCAACCTCCCTGAGCTTGTTAAGCTGTTGGCACCAAAGCTCAGTAAGCAGAACTCTCTAGGCGACGAGGGCTGCCAGAGCGACCCCGAGGAGCCCTCGCCAGGGGCCGACTTCGCCCGGAGCCTCGGGGCCGTTGCCTGCTCCAGCGACGGAAAGTGCTCCGGGTTCATCACCATCGGCTACCGGGGCTCCTACACTCTGGGCCGTGATAGCCAAACAGACGCCAAGTTTCGACGAGTGGCTCGGATTATGGTGTGTGGGAAGACGTCTCTCGCTAAGGAGGTTTTCGGGGAAACGCTGAAT